ATATTGCAGGCCCCTCCTCGTCTAATGATACGCAATAATAATGTCTAAAAGATAAGATAAATGATTTTTTGTACATTATTATACTTATCACAATATGAATAATAATGTTAAAAGAATAATACATGTATTTTTATTCTCTCTCTCTCTCTGTCTCTCTCCCTCTCTCTCTCTCACTCTCTCTCTCTCTCTCTTTTAACATTATTATTCATATATTATTTAACAGTTCTGTATCTGTGTTTGCTGGGACATATCTCTTTCTTATCATAAATATAGAATATTTTTATATGTAATGCGATGTTTTGTTTTGTTTTTACACATAACATAATTTACTTTTGCAATATTTTATTTTTCTGTATAAATAAGATAAGAAAATATTCTATACGTTTATGATAGGATATTTATATTCTATTCTATATATGTTTACTATCAGATATGTGTGTGTGTGTGTGTGTGTGTGTGTGTGTGTGTGTGTGTGTATTTTATACCTGATCCAACCTGACAAACTTTACTTTTTTATAAATGAAAGCATACGCTATATAACACTGCACTCTTGCATTGCAAACTTAACCTATACCTATCAAAAACAGGTATGGATGTGAGCAGTAACATTACAAAGTACCGCTAGCGCTATCTTATGTTGAAGGCTCCAATCGTACACCGTTCGCGCATGCGTATTGCGGACTTGCGCGAATGACGTGGACGTTTCTTAAAGAGAAAATTTCACATTGAGACTTTGCATCATGATATATCCGTTTACAAAGCACGTAGAGCAAAAATAAAGACACTTTCTTTATGTAATTTAAACTCAAGCTATCGATTAAGCCTAGTAAGAACTTGATCCGTTCAGCGGTTATATTGAAATCTGAAAATCTCAATACTTTCAACGGTCCGAACGGGCCGACTCGCGTGAAGATGCACGGTGCGTCTCGCTGTTGCGCGCTTACTTTGCGCGAGACACTACCGTGTCTCTTGATACAACTCCTGATGCGAAACCGACTCTCGCGTTAAACCAGGTCACGGGCTACCCGTGGTTATGCCGGGCTTCCCGGTTGCTGGGACGGCGCATCCTGATACCTACCGTTACACCAGGTCACGGGCTACCCGTGGTTATGCCGGGCTTCCCGGTTGCTGGGACGGCGCATCCTGATATCCCGCGTTAAACCAGGTCACAGGCTACCCGTGGTTATGCCGGGCTTCCCGGTTGCTGGGACGGCGTATCCTGATACCCCGCGTTAAACTAGGTCACGGGCTACCCGTGGTTATGCCGGGCTTCCCGGTTGCTGGAACGGCGCATCCTACTAGCTTGTAAGACCGTACCGCGTTCTCTGCGTCTAAATAGACCGTAAGACCGTTGTGTATATACCGCGACCAATTAAACCGTAAAACCGTTCTGTTCTCCGCGTCCAGATAGACCGTAAGACCGTTTTGTATATACCGCGACCAGTTAAACCGTAAGACTGTTTTGTTCTCCGCGTCCAGATAGACCGTAAGACCGTTTTGTATATATACCGCGACCCGTTAGACCGTAAGACCGCTTTGTACATTCCGCGTCCAGACCGGCCCCAGTCCGAACCTTGTAATTATAAAGTTAATTAATCGGATAGGGATTTCCGTTAGTGTCGCGTCTACTTCGCCTTTACACACGGCCATCATACTACCATAGCGCGCTAGTCCTTCTAAGGATAAGCTGCAGAAAGTACTGACGCCCCGTCCTTCTAAGGATAAGGCGAGCAGTCAGTTGGAACCACAGAAAAGGCCACACGACACCCCGTAGTAGTTAAGATCTGTCTTATTGTAGTAGTTGCTTGCATGGAAACGTCGCGACCGCGTAACACCTAGACATCATCTGCATGAGCGTCGCTCGCCTCTCGAGCCTTGCATGCGCCCGCTTACATCACGCCGCTCCTGCGAGCACTTATGCACACCGCTCTTGCACGTCCGCTCTTGTAAATAGCTTTTATTGTTTAACTGTTTAATCTGAATAAACCGTTCGATTATACCAAGGAAGAGTGAATTAGAGTTTCCCCTTTCTCCCGAATCCTGGCACCGGCAAGCCTGATCCGCGGCGTCGGAAAAGGTGAACCGTTACAAAATATTAAAAGTTTAATGAGAAAAAATACTATTTATACTATTAAAATATTAAAGCCCGGTTGCACCAATGTTATGTATGACGTTTTATTGAAAAAGATAAAAATGTAAACCTGTTCAAATTTATCATCCAACAAGGTAAGTTGTTTATTCCTCCTATCACACTACTATTTATAGAATATTCTGTAGATCCTGATTTTGTTTCTTTTTCCTTGAAAGTATATTGAGGCCCATTTAATAAACTATATACATCATCTGCCTCTTTGTCAGTTAAATTTATGTTACCCTCAAAGGAGATATCAGATTCATTATATTCATTTCCCGATTCATCCATTCATATTTTAAAATTAAAAATAAAATTTATTAATTTACAAAATAAATCCTTATTAATTTGTCCTCTATAATCATAATATAACCTAATTTTGTCCAAAATGACATTGATTAGAAAAAATCACTTCTCTTCCTTGCACTATTCTGCGATACTCTTATAATTTATAACCGAATAATTTATCACTTTACCTTAATCTTTATCACTTTTCTTCTTGTTGCATTATTCTGCGATATTCTTATACGGTGCGTCTCGCCGTTGTGACGCGCGATCTTTGCTTCGCGTGATTTGGCGCGAAATACTATTCTTGCGTGCACTATTCCGCGATACTCTTATAAGTAATCTAAGTGTAACGATACCGTTACTAGCCTCGCGGGCCGACCAGCCGCCCGCAATTCTGAGTTCTGTATAAATACCGCGACCTGTTATATTGTAAGACCGTTTGTACATATACTGCGACCTGCTATATTGTAAGACCATTTGTACATATACCGTGACCAGTAAAACCGTAAGACCTCTTTGGTCTCCGCGTCTAGATATACGCTAGTACCGCCTTGTATAAATACCGCGACCTGTTAGGCTGTAAGATCCGCACTGTATATACCGCGCATTGTCATAGTAGAGTAAATTAGCCTTATTAGGATTCCCGCCAGTGTCGCGGCGACTCCACCTTTACACCCGGACTTCAGACTACAATAGCGCGCTAGTCCTTCTAAAGATAAGCCGCAGGAAGTGCCGACGCTCCGTCCTTCTAAGGATAAGGCGATCAGGCGGTTGGAATTACATTGAAGGCCACGCGACACCCCGTAGTATCTAAGATCAATTCTGTTCATCTTAGAATAACAATAGTTTGCTTGCATGCGAACATCGCGATCGCAGAACACGTCCGCACGAGCCGCGCTAGCTTCCCAAGCTCCACGCGCACCAGCCAACGCGTAGAACCGCTATCGCGAAATTCTGTACGCATCGCTCCCGCATGTTGCATTGTAAATAGTATAGCTTTCGCGAACTATTGTACGCACCGTTCCCGCATGTTGCATTGTACATATACTATAGCTTTCAGTGTTAAATAACTTCAATCACTTTTGGAATAAACGCATTGTTTAACCGCTTATACCGAGGTAAAATAAGTTGGAGTTTCCCCCTTCTCCCGAATCCTGGCACCGGCGAGCCTTGATCCGCGGCGTACGGGAAAGGTGAACCGTTACAATCTCTACTATTTTTATGATGAAATAATGCGCTCTTGCATTGCAAACTTATTTTATTAACTTATACTTGTCAAAAGGTACGGACTCGAGCAGTAACATCACGAAGCACCGTTAACGCAATCTTATGGCGAATGCTCCAACCGTACAACTTTTCGTACTTGCGCATTGGGAACTTGGGCGGCGACGACGACGGAGACGTTTCTTAATAAAAATTTTATACATTTCGACTTTGCATCATATTATCTCCGTTCACGATACATGTAGAAAAAAGATAAAAACTTTCATTATATATTTCAAATCCAAACTATCGATTAAGCCTATTAAAAATACGATCGGTTCAACCGTTATTGAGGTTTGATAATCTAAGGTAACTCGCAACTGGCCGACTCGCGTATAGATACCCGGAGTGCCTTGCGGCTTCGCGTGAACTTGGCGTGAGACACTATCGTGTCTCTTGATGTTATTATAAATACAATTGCACAGTGATGCATTGCATTATACTACAAGTATGTTACATTATAAGATTACTGCAATATTACATTGCAATATTACAAAAAGCGGACATCTTAACGTTGTTGCAATCTTACAGTAATAGTGCAGCAATAATTTTGCAACCAATTTGCAATGTTTCAATGAAATTATTCTGCAATATGTCTGCAACCTTTCTGTGCTCTATGGGTTAATGGTCCATTATTTTTTATATTTATTAAATTGACATGTATATCTGTAGGTTGCCCTATTAAAGTGTCGCGACATACCGTACAATGTAATATTTTTATTAGTTTCCTCAATACATATCCTGCTATATAACTAATAACTTCCATTTTATATTCTGTAATAGAACATGAATATTATGTTTGTGTAATGAATAATCATGGTAGTAGTATACAAAAGCATATATTCTGGGTCACATTTTTTCCTCTATCAAAATCAACTAAAAAACATCAAAATCACCCGTAAAAGCAACAAATTAAAAAAAAAGACAACAAAAAGAAGAACTTTCAAAATATTGAAAGAAACTAAGGGCGTCTTTCAGACTAAGCCTTTCAGGCGCTTGACCTAAATTAACAAAATATTGGAAAAAACCTTCCAAAATATTGACAGAAATCCTAAATTCCAAGAGTGTTAAACTCTAAATCAAGACCATTTATAATACAACGACTAAGTGTCTGAAAGACTAAGTTCAAGGGACGCTAAGTCCGAATGACGCTTACGAAGTGATTAGATCCTTCTTATTTATCCATTGGTTATGTGTATTATCAAAGCCTAGCCATTTAACATAAACTTTATTAGCGCCTGAAAGGCGTCTGAAAGACTAAGTCTAAGGACGCTTAGTCCGAAGGACGCTTCCTTTTCTTGTTTTTTAGTTGATTTTGATAGAGGAAAAAATGTGACCCAGAACATATGCTTTTGTATACTACTCATGGTCATTATTATGTTCATTATGAAAAACATCAAGCCATTGTGTTTGTGAAGCTGTGTTTGTCGTTGCATTTATGATATTAATCGGCTGTTCAGATGACACATACAATATTGTAATATCTTCTAATGGTATACAACTGCCACTATTTTTCTCCTGTAATTCCGTATGTATAATAATTTTTTATACGCAGATTTACATTGTTGAACTGTAGGATTATTATTATCCATGATGAGATCTTAAATTAGTAAAAATTAATTCAAGGTGGTCCTGATTCAGTTTATACGTAGAAATAAACTTAAGGAAATTGTTATCAGTGTATACAAATTTGTACATATTCAACAAACTTTTAATATGGGCAGGACACATAGCACCCCATCTCGGTGGATTATAATTATATAAGTGTAACGCTTCCAATCACTTCTGTCGCTTCTTATTATTTTATTGGGAATCTAAACGAATAATTAAATTGTTAAAATCATATGAATTTCATAATCTAAACGGTAATATAGTTTATATATTTACGAATGAAATGGAAACCAGAGAGAAGTCTGAGAGACGCCACGGCCTGGTTTTAGATGATCCCTGAAAGCGATACGCCCTTTGTGGACATAAAAATGTGGACATTGAACTACATAGCCAATGTGCACGAATGTACTTACAAGGGAACCTCGCAAACCCGAAAATTCTGATTTTGATGAAACTTTACAGACATGTAGGGGGAGTCATAGGTGAATTTAGAAATTTTCAGTTGCTGCCCAAAAACGGTTCTAAAAGGTGAAAGCACCCCTCATATATAGAGCGGCTTTTTGCTTTTCTCGATATATCTCAAAAACTAGTCGAGGTATCAAAAAATGTTTTACAGAAAAGTTTTATGGTAAAAACAGCTCTATTTAACCACATTAATAAACATCTGAAAAAATAATTTTTTTAAAAGATTTCTGAAAAAATTTGTTCCAAATTATTTTTTTAAATTTTTATTAATGTGGTTAAATAGAATTGTTTTTGCCATGAAACTTTTATAAAAAACATTTTTTAATATCTTGAATAGTTTTCGAAATATATCGAGAAAAGCGAAAAGCCGTTAAACACATAAGGGAGGGGTGATTCCACTTTTCAAAATCACTTTTGGGCGGCAACTGAAAATTTCTTAATTTATATATTTACTCCCTCTAAATGTGTGTGAAGTTTCATCAAAATTAAAATTTTCGGGTTCGCAAGGTTCCGATTAATAGTAAATGACTTGTAATTTACAGCTCAATAATAAAGACATAAGATATATGTATATAAAAAATGACAGCATCCGATAAAATTATTGCGAAAAGAATTTATTTATTTACTCCCTTACTTATGCATAAAATTTTATCATAAAAATATTTCTATT